TTTTTTTTCATATATGGAAATATATAAGGAAGGGAGATAGTTTTAATATCCTTTCATGAGACAGATTTTACACACACACACACACACACACACACGTTTTCAGACTCCAATCTCCAATCACTGTACTTCTGAGATCTTGTCACTACTTTCAGATTTAAACCTTGGAGAAGGCAAAAGCCACTAAATCACCTCCAGTTAATTAACTGGTTCTCAGTGGATGGGAAAGAATAAAGTTAATCTTCAGGAAAAGCAGGGTATAAAGTTATTAAACTAAGTAATAGGAAGAAGTGGAAAGTCTTGAAGGATTCCTTGTGATCTAAAGATTTTAAAAATATTTTAGAATATTATAATAGGAAGATAAGAGAGAAATAACCAGAGGCTTTTGATTTAATTTCTGATTGTGTGTTGATAAGTAGTGCTCTCATCAGGAATTATATAATTTTATTCTCCTTTTTAAATTTTGAAAAATGAAAATCATTTCTGAAGTTGCTTCCAAATCTAACAACCTAAAAATCATTTGGCTTTGCATATTTGTATCAAATTAGAATATTGACATTCATAGATTTCTTGGTTATGAATGTTGAAAAACATAAATTCACAAATAGGCAAAAATTACATTCAAAAGATGGATTCTAGGTTTTTAAAAGTATATGAATTATGTTTTTTTTTCTTTTTTTCTGGAGGTGATGAGAATAACTTTTTCACTTTACCTGAGAAATAAGTGTTAAAATTAGCTGAGGAAAAAAGAAAGGCTTTAAAGTACTAATGATAAAACACATCAAAGAGCCCTGGGAGAGTAATAGTTAAGCACTTAGTTGATGACTGAAAGGTTGGTGATTTGAACCCTGTATCTCCACAGAAGGAAAGACCTGGTGATTTACTCTTGTAGAGATTATAGCCTAGGAAACCCTGTGGGCTAGTTACATTCTGTCCTATAGGGTAGATAGGAGTCAGAATCAACTTGATGACACAAGAACAGCTATGAAAACACATTAGTCTGTGATAAATAATCATTTTATATTAAGTTAGAAAGATTAATTCAGAGACTTCACTACACCATGCATTGGATCAATGCATTTTATCATTTGTGTTCTACCTGGAAGTTGATTTAATGAACTCTGAATTATACAATTAGCTCTAGACACAAATGAACTCAAGAGCAGCTTTGCAGTTGTTATAATCACTTTAAACCTCTTTAGGCACATTTTCTGTCTCCAATCATGTGGTACCACACATTTCTGCACTAAAACAGTAGATGACAACTGAACAACAATAACACAGCAATTGCAAAAACTTAAGATTCTTCAATTCTTTTTTGAAATGAACACTTGGAAGTTTTATTTATGTTTGAAATTAAAAAAAAAATGAAACAAAGTGTGAATTGAAGAAAAATATATCTTTGGTAAGTGTAATTTTAGTTTTTAGCTAAAATATTTAACAAATACACTTAAAATTAAATTATCTTCTTTTTTAATTATTAATTTTTGTTTTAAAACTAAATAATATATCAAAAAAATGGAATTCTATATGAGTGGCATAACTATACCTTTCATAAAATTTTTTAATTGAAATATTTTCCATTACTCATGTTATTGTTTATTGAAACAATTATACATTCAATACACAACAAAATAAAATTTTCTCTTGTTGCATTTCTTTGGTCATTATTATTATTTAATTTTATGATTATTACTGGAAATAATTTTTTGATATACAAGAAAGCTTTGAAAATGATTCCTCCAGATACTGATAGTGCATAGGAAAATAGAAGGAAAAAGAGACAAAAATAATTACCTAAAATCCACCAGGTTGTTAGCGAAACCCAAATGGAACACAAACTCTATTTAAGTACCAACTGTATAAAATAAAAAACCATATTGAAAGGATGGGAAGAAAAGAACTGAGGTAACTTTGGAAAACAGTATTTTGACTTTATACTGTAAGACTAAGTATAGAAACACTATGCTCTAGTGAGTAAATTACTAAACTATTGATATTATTTATTTACTAAGACTGAAGAAATAAGTAACTTAAGTGTAGAGGATGAGAGCCAAATTTCTCAGTGTTGTAAAAAGAAGTTACAAATAAGAAAAGAGGGAAAACTAAAATGAATCTTGTGGTGTTGAATTTAAATCCCTGGCTCTGTTTGAAGAGTGGACCTAGACAATAACACCTCAATAGCAGGGTACTGACCTAGTGCTCAGGTCTTGCTTTACAAATACCATTCTTCTGTAAAAGAAACCAGCGGAACTGGTAGATGTGATGGATTCCCTTTCTGAAGTAAGGAAGATACACAATGAACCTGGAAAATCTTGTGATACCAGCAAATAAGGAAGTACTTGTAAAAGGATGAGTTTTGTTCAGAGGACACAGGATGCAACATGAAGGAACTTCCAATGGTGAATGTTGAAACAATGGCAGCAACAGAATAAATAATGATTGCTTTGAAGTAAACCCATAAACCCACCCACTGCCCTCGAGTTGAATCTGACTCATAGTGATCCCTCCTTGG